AGCAGACCTCTCCTGACCCGCCCGCTGCTCCCCTCAGCAGTGTACTTCGTCGATCTGCCTGTTCTGCTCCCCAGTCTGTCTCTGGTGAATCCTCTCACCCTCTGCATCTCTGGCCTGTACCCCAGTTCTGTACAAATAAATAAGTAAATCTTTAAAAAAAAATTGAAGAACTCAGTGAATGTACAAGAATGAATAGATGAGTGCTAACAAATGGAAAGTAAATGTTAATATCAGAAAACTTATTAGTGTTGAAGACTTACATCCATTTTAAAAATAAAGTACATCAAAAATATAAAGCAAATGTGGATCTTTATGCAACTTGCAGAACATCATGAAAATATATTAAGCAAAAATTAGAGATAAAATTTGATGTATTGCATAATGAAATTAGGAGATACTCATATTTTTCTCAAAAACTTATGAACTAATTAAATAAAATGAAAATGAAAATCTTGAGGTTTTTTTTTAAGACTACAATTAGCAAATCTTATTTTCATTAGAGAGAGTGTGGATATTTAATTTCAAAACAGACTACAATATTCTACAGAAACCACAGTGCAATTCTGATCAATCCTCAGGGTTCAGGTCACAAGAAAAATGCCAGTGAAATCCTCATAGTAGAAAATATATAACCCACACAATCTAGCTCCACAAAGTGTAATTAGATGCTTATTACAAAAAAATCTAGCAAAGACCACTTTATAACTTGGAAATTGTAAAATACTAGAAATCTTTAAAGTTACAGAGAAAATAAAAAGCCACGGTTAGCTACAACACTACTCATAAAATTTAGTTTGCTGTAATATATACTACGTTATATTGTAAAGCTATACTTGTACAATATATCATTAAATACATTTAAATTAATAAAAACAGGTAAAAAACATGAAACTAGACAAAAGAACATTAAACTATTAAAAGTAGAGGAAAGTTTTTAAAGATTAATATGGTCACTGATAAAGGTGATTATAAATGTGAGTTATTGGGATTGATTAATGAATCCAAGAGTTTATTCTAAGAAAAAGCAGGGAAACTTCTGAAAAGTCGAATCAATATTATATTTTAAAAATTAAATGAATGGTAATATTTAAAAATATTCATATAAACATACATAGAAGAAATTTAAAAGTTAAAAACGAATTTTGGATACAAATGTATCAGGTACATTTGAAATATATTTACTTATTGATTTAGTTTTTTTTTTTTGTCTTTTTATTACTCCCTTACTTTTCTTTATTTAGATATTCCTCAAACTTTTCAAAAGAAGACACATCAAAGGAAAATGTTAATTAAAAATGGGATAAAGGCAACCTTTAAAGTTCATTCTTTTAAGTTGCTTGAGAGTCTTAGAATTATTTTCCCCCTTTCAAACAAATATAATGATTATTTTAATAAATAACTGTAATAATAAATCTGATTAAATTGGCTTCCTGACATTGTTTTGGGATGGTTTGCCAGAAGCAGATTTCCTAAGAGGCTGATGGAGTGAATTCATGGGGATCTTACTTCCATTAGTCTCATTTAAGATCCTGGAAGATGAGGTCCTAGGACTGAGTTCTAAAAGTTCATATATATTTTTTTAAATTTAAAAGTCATGAAGTATTTTAATCTGTTGTAATAGCAATCTGTTGTGTCTCCTTTCTCCACTCCAGATTTTTAAAAGATTGCTTAAGAGGAAGAAAAATGTATTCCCTAACATATCAGCCTTAGTTTCAAAGTCAAACCTAAGTTCTTAAAAAAAAAAAAAATGAATCTTGTAGCATTTACATGGTTTCTAAAGTTAGAAAATTTCCAAATTAATTTCAAGATTTTTTCACATGTCTAACTTGAGACCTGAAAACAGTAGTAGCAAACAGTCATAACCACACAGAAAACTCCCACAAATATATACAACTATTATTACTATCCAGTAAACTCAGCAAAATAACATATTCTTAACATATGAATGTACCATACAATATATAATAACATATTATACATGCACTATATAATATATAATAACATACTATATACATATATGTACTATATAATATATAATAAAATATATTATAATAACATATTCTTAACATATGAATGTACTAAAACATCATTGACAGGTTTTATTCCAAGAATATATCAAAATTAAAAATTACTTTGTGATATGCAAAAGGATAAAACTAGATGATTTTCATAAACAACAAAATGTAATTTATTAATACAATTCCAAATCCATTCCAAGTTGAAATCTGAGCAATTAATAAAAGAACTTTTTTATGTTTCACAAAGAGCAATTATTAAATGTCAATAGTCAACATAATGCTCAATAGTAATTGGATTACATTGACAGTTATAACTTTAAAGTTTCTGTTAATTTATGTCGAATTTTTTTAAAAGATGAGTTAGGAACAAAAAAAATCACAACAATAAAAATGCTATTTTTATTCAGAAATATAAAGAGATGAATTAATTAAAATGTTTCTAAAAGGACTTAAGTGCTTAGCAGCTCTTTATCTTATAACATTTCTTTGAAAATCAGTTACATGATCATCAAATCTATTCATGATCTAAATAAGCAATTTAAAAAGCGACACTCACACTGGGAGCTCAAAGTCCTTTCACTGCCCAGGAAGTTTATTGCTGGGATGATAGCTTGGCCTTTCCCGGTAGTGCTGATGATGGTTTCTTCATTTTCGAGGATCTGTAGCTTGATGAATGCATCGGGTTTGGATGTGCGTACATGTATGGTAACAGGACGCAATAATGAAACTTTAACTGAATACCTGCAAGGAAAATTCCACTTTAGGAGCAGATTTCCCTTAAAGCAAAACCATTTTTGCAAAGTCTACGAAGATTTTGGAACTGACTGCTTTTATAGATTTTGGCAAATCTGTGTGTGCCACAATCTCTATGCGATGGTCAACCAAAATAAATATAGGCTGTTATTATCAGCCAACCCTAAGCAGGGAATGTCACTTTCAATGTGAGAAGCCATCGCTTGATGGAATTTGATAGACACCAAACCTTGTCATTGCACCCTGGTCCTGAACTCGACAAAGAGCACAGAAAACGGGCAGAGATCACTGTCAAGCAGGCCCTTGAGATCACTGCCAACCATGTTCCCTTTGCTTCACAAAAACACAACACAGTTGACAGTGGCCCACCAGCTGCACTCAACCTTGCCCATGCAGGCTGAGGACTTCCTGCAAGTAAACTGTCATCATCGTTTGTTGAATGTCTAAGTCCAGGCATCCAACCTACTATTCCATTGCCATCACACCTGGGTTATTTCACGACCTTCTGCCTGGGCCTCTGGCTCCAGTTGTGACAGTCTGTTCAATACACTGCAGCCTTCTGAGTGTGTTTTTCTTTTCAGACCTTTTATGATTAAATATAATTTCACCACATCTGGTTCTAAAATGTTATCCATTCTTAGAAATTAAAAATTTTCAATTTCTGGGCCCTCCCTGGTGGTGCAGTGGGTTAAAGCACTACACTAAGAAGCTTAAGCCACTTACACATGAGTTTGATCCCCGCCTGCCCCGGAAGTGACCACATGGCGTGGCAGACCTCTCCTGACCCGTCCGCTGCTCCCCTCAGCAGTATACTTCATAGATCTGCCTGTTCTGCTCCCCACTCTGTCCCTGGTGAATCCTCTCAACCTCTGCATCTCTGGCCTGTACCCCAGTCCTGTATGAATAAATAAATCTTTAAAAAAAATTCAATTTCTGCTTTGCAGAGGCAATATTTTAACACAAACCTATTAATGCCAATGTTCTAAAAATCTGCCAAAGCATTTCAGTGATTCTAAGATAAAATCTCAATTTCTTGTCCTATGAAGCTCTCAGGAAGGTGCTCTGCTAGCCCCTCTTATTGCTCACCCTAAAAGCCATTGGGAAACACAGCAAATGTCTCTAGTTTCCTGAAAGGGGAAGCACTCTTTAATTTATGAACATCCAGATGCTAGTCCAGTCGTCCCCTCCTCACCTTTCTCCTATATTTCCGGGACCAACATCTGGGACTATGTCAGTTGCTAGGGAAAATGCCACTGCAGCATGTATAGTGGTCCTGCTTTGTGATACAGCAGTTTGCTAGCACAATAGTTAAAATGTTTCATAGTAATTGTTATTTTTAGCTACTTGTGTGTTTCTTTTCTTTTTCTTTGATTATTTTCTCATTTTCTAATAGGCAATATACAAATATAATATAAGAAAGAAGATAATGTTTAACAAAAGTTAAATAGGATGATGAGAACTAAAATCCCACTAGACATAGGCCCTAGTGGTGCAAGGAGTTAAGTCGCAGAACTATGAAGCTGTCCACAGCCACTGCAGCATGAGTTAGATCCCCAGCCAGGGAGCTGATCCACATGGCACAGCAGAATCTCCTGCCTCGCCTGCTGCTCCCCTCAGCAGTATATTTCAGTAGATCTACCTGTTCTATTCCCCACTCTGTCTTTGGTGAATTCTCTCACCCCTGCACCTCTGGCCTGTGCTCCAGTTCTTGTATACATAAAGTAATAAAAGAAATATTTTTTAAAAAAGAAACAAGCAACAACAACAAAAAGAAATCCCACTAGATACACGCACAATGCTTGATCCTGTATAATGTCTACATAATCACATTACCTATGTTAGTTGTTTGCACAAGGGTGTAGACACTGGAATTCAAAACTAACTCAGGATTTTACTAGGCAATGCAATATATTTGAAGATATAGGAGAAAAGAGAATTATCATTTACTAGAATTGTTTAATATTTATCGTTTTGATAATATTCATGTTTAAGTTAAGAGTCAATAAATTAAAAAATATCTACGAAAATAAAAAAAATATTTGCATTTTGAATGGGAAACATTTCCCTTTCAGTTTCATACCTGAATAAAATTTTCTTATCATTGGGTATGTAGTAATCTCTGATTTCCTTTATGGCAAAGGTATTGCAGGGAAACTCCCGAATCAGGAAGGGGAGTGGATTATAAGGACCAATGAGACGCAGTTTCCATCGTGAAGATGATACATACATGTCACTTGTAAATGCTTCAGCCACGAATGTGTATCCTTTCTATGGGAGACAAGAATTACATGGATGTGACACTGTTATTAGCCTCTCAATAGTGCAATGTTCTTTCATAGCACTGAAATGCTTTGTTATCTTGATATACAAAAAGGTACCATGATCTCCTAATAAATTTCAAATTACAAGCATGATGTCATGAAGTCCTATTTAGAAAGCACCATCTTACAGGTTTTCAGAGAAAATGAACATCCTCTATTTTTGTTGATATGATAATGGAATAGCTCACAAGACTTCTGCTTAATTTCACTGTATTTTCTGAATAATCTAAAATATAAAATGAGAGGAGCAGAAGAGTTTATGGAAATGTAATACCCTTGAGATGAAATTCATCAGATGAAGCTCTCAAATTATTGTCTGACAGCTCATGGAACCCAAATGTGACCCAAAAGGCACACATCTGGGAGGGAGAAAAGCAGCAACTAAGAAGCTTAAGAAAGTGATAACATCTTGATGTGTAACAAATAGGTTTGCTGTGGATATCTATCTGGTCAAGAAAACAGTAAAGCAAGAGCATGATGTTATGAGGTACAAAATTTCAAAGTAATGTCGAGTTTATAATTCCAGACACTTCTAATAAAGAAGGAAAGTTAGATTTGTATTCCAGTTGCTCTCTGATGCAGAGGAAGTTCTCTGGCATGTTTTGATTTACAGAAACAAAAATTAGAAATACAGAAGACAGAATGATTTCCTACCATTGAAATGAAAGTCTAGGAATATTAACCAGAATCTAAACACCTGTGAGAATGGCGACATTCATCAGGACCTTTTGACATTACATTTGGGGCCAAGATAAAAGGAAGTTAAATTATGTTTGTTAAAGTATGTTTACATGTAAAGTTTAATGCAGAGATTTTTTAAAGAGATTTATTTATTTATTCATACAGAACTGGGGTACAGGCCAGAGATGTGGAGGGTGAGAGGATTCACCAGAGACAGAGTGGGGCGCAGAACAGGCAGATCTACCAAGTCCACTGCTGAGGGGAGCAGCGGGCGGGTCAGGAGAGGTCTGCCGCGCCATGTGGATCTCCTCTGGGGCAGGTGGGGATCGAACTCAAGTGGAAGTGGCTTAAGCTTCTTAGTGTAGTGCTTTAACCCGCTGCGCCACTAGGGAGGGCCCTAATGCAGAGATTTATTGACGTTTTCAGCTTGCAGTACTAATGCACTAAGGAAGAAGTAAAATGTGAAGTTGGAGAGTTAATATTAATCAACTCCAGGACCTACTATGAATTTTAATTATCCAAGGTGGCACAGTACTAGTAAAAAAATATACAAACAGAGCAAAGAAATGTAATAGAGAACTCAGAACTAGACACACATAAAGAAAGTTGATGGATCTTTGACAAAAGAGCAAAGGCAATCAATAGTCATTCAACAAAGAGTGTCGGCACTCTACACATCCACACTCAAAGCAATCTAGCTAAAGACCTTATACCTGTCACAAAAAGTAACTCAAAATAGATGATAGATGGAAATGTGAATGTAAAACTAGAAGGTAAGCTCGAGAACCTTGAGTATAGCAATGGCTGCACACAACACCAGATGAACAGTCTAAAAGAAAGAATTGATAACTTGGACCATTAAAATTAAAACCTGCTCCACAAAAGACAAAGCCAAAGTAAGGGAGAGGCAGATCCTAGACTTGGAGAAAATATTTTCAAAAAGCACAGATAATAAAGGACTATACATGCAGAATATACAAAATGCTTGGTACTCAACAATAAGGCAACAAATAACCTGATCTAGAAAATAGAGCAGATTTTTTAAAGATACAACAGTAAAGAAGATACAATGGTGGCAAGGCAAATAGTCAGATGAAAATATGCTGTACATCATGTGTCATCAGAGAAACTAAAACAACAGTGAAATATCACGCACACTTGTTACAATGGTCAAAACCCAAAACACTGAAACACCAAGTGCTGTGAGGATCTGAAGCAACAGGAACTCTTATTCTTCCTTATGGGAATGAAAGAATGGTTCACCCCCTTAGGAGGACGGTTTGGTGGTTTTAGGAAGCTGAACATATTCTTACTACATACCCCAGTGATCATGCACTTCAATATTTACTCACAAGAGCTGAAAAGGCTTGAGCACACAAATATTTATACATGGATGTTTATAGTTGCTCCACTCACTGTTGCTAAAACAGGGATACAAGTAAGATGTCCTTCAGTAGGGACATGGATAAAGAAACTGTGGTTCACACAGACAATGGGGTATTCTTCAGGGAAAAACAAAATGAGCTACTAAGCCATGGAAAGACATGGAGGAGCCTTAAATACATGATTTTAAGTGAAAAACATCAACCTGAAATAAAGGCTACCTGCTGTGTCATTCCAACCATATGACATTCTGGAAAATACAAAAGTATAGAGACAGAAAAAGATTAGTAGGCAGTACAAATACTCTGTATAAGGCCATCATGATGGATACATGCCCTTTAGATTTGTCCAAATCCATAGAATGGCCAATGCCGACAGTGAATTGTCAGTTATGGACTTGGAATGATTTTGATGTGTTGGTAGGATGCCAGATTGCAACAAATGCAACATTATGATTGCAGGATATAGATAACGGGGAGAGGGGGATACCCCAGGGCATATATGGGAAACTTCTATATTTAAAATTGTTTTAATACATAAAGTCTTTTTTTTTTTTTTTACCACTTACACACAATGCAAAGGGACTCTTAGTTTTCTTTATGAGTGATATTTTTATTTATCTTTTATTCCTGTGATCCTGTAATCATTAGATAGGTCTCTCTTAACTTATACAAAACCATAGGTGGAAAAAAACCTCAGAAGCCCATAGCTAAAGAATGAAGATCAGAACTAAAACTGGCTACCACTGCAAGGAAGTACACATTTCCTTTCATCATGTTTCCCTGTAGAGGAAATGTCTGAAAACACAAAGATGAGGCAACATGATTTTAGTGAATGTCACAGATATTGGTCTCTCCTGTGTGGGGTAGTGTACAGGGAGGGCTATGATGTCACTGTCTTCTGTCTTCTGAACTCTTAGGAAGTAGGAAATAAAAACAGTGGGAGACAGAGCCAGCCAAGTGATTGGCCGAGGAGTAAGAGTAAATGAGTTCCTTAGCTATTTCTATATCAAGGGCAAGTATGATTTTATTAATTTAATAATGAGCGATTCTAATGCTTTCTTTTTGACTTGTTTTCTTTGTAGAGAAGACAGTTGAGAGGGTGAATGTTCTAGTCACATGAAATACCCCTTGCTGTCAAAACAGAATTCAATTGATAAAAGACCAGGATCACATCTCTCTGCTAAGTGGATGGAAGCACATCTGGTTCTCCTCCTGTGAGGTGCTGGTTTCTCTTCACAGTTCTAGCACATGGGCAGGATAAATTTTACACCTACCTTATTTTTGGTGTACAAATAAGGCATCACTTTTTGGAATAACTTTGGTACTTGCTCCATTGTGTCATTGTTAACAATGTGAAGCATGCAGACTGGAAGTGTAGTGTATACTTTGGGAAGCAAAATCATATCTTGAGGAACAAAAAATGTTTCTCTGCAATTACAAAAGCATGGATTTCCCCTTAACATGAAAAATAAAGCTTGAAATTTACTTTGTGCACAGAAGTATAAATATAAGTTTAAAGTTCCAAGTAGCTACAAGATGTACACACATTTTGGTTACTTTTAAAAAATATTTCTTTTCTGACAAAATTGTAAACCTTTTAAGATATCTGATTTTATATATGATTTTAACTTTAACTGCATGTGCTACTGACTGAAAATAAAATGTTATCCTTCTATACTGAAAGAACATGTTTATTCTAGTGTGTTTATTAAAATATAATAAAAAGTTGTAATAATTAACTCCACAGTATTTATATATATATATATATTTATATATATAAATATATATAAATATATATATACATTTATATATATATATATATTTTGCTTCAAAAACATGAATAAAAAGTTCTGTAACATTGTATTCATGCATTGACAATATGGAAGATACTTTAACTAAGCTATAGAAATGACCTAAAAGTTCATGCTTTTAACACTCAAAAACTAAAACTCTATACATATGAATATTGCATTCCACGTAAAGAGACAACACTCACCAATATATGATAACCTCACCTGAATACTATAAACCAGGTATTTGGTGGCTGGTCCCCATAAGTTACAGTATAGTCAGCAAAAGCAATCTTAGTGTCTTCATCTTGATAGCATGGATAGGCTTTCATAGACCTGCACTTGCTTTTAAACATTAGTCTGTAAATGAAAAAAATAAGTATGAATGGTAAAAAGCAACTGTTAAAATAGATTCTATTTGCACATCAAATAGGTAAAAATTAGCATTAAATATTATAGTTTATTGTTGGCTACATTGAGTCTTTGCTCAGTCCTTTCTGATGATTTCAACAAATAATTTTACTATTTACCAGAGGCTCCTTCCCAACAGGATCTAACCTAACTTTTGTCTCCTCCAAACTTAAGACTTTAAAAAAATCTGTATTTCGCAGAGGTTTTCTGCCTACAGGTTTAGGTAAGTACAGTTAAGAGAAATGAAAGCGAGTACCACAGACTTGAGGCTGATGAAATACTGTGGAAGCTCAGAAGCAATGGTGTGTTTCTGGCTGCAGTGATTATGGAGAACAAAATGAATATGGCTGCCAACAGACTGCAGTGAGGAGTTGTGTTACAGCGCTTTACCTTAAGAGCTTTACCTTAAGAGAGAGGTTGCATATTGTTCTATGTTCTGCTCCAGCATAACCCAAACTTTCTGAAGTGTATCTGCAACACTGGCATTTTCTTTTGTGTCTAAACAAACAATGGAAAGCAATATAAATGGGGTAAAGTATCTGAAAGATGGTGTTATTTTGCAGATGAAGTTGAAATTCACAAGGAAGGAGTTATGGTTTTTATAAACCCAAGCCATGGATTCTATGTACAAAATATAAAGCTGTAAGACTCTAGTCAAGAACTCTGCTCACTGTTCTGTTCTATGCTATTTCCATTCAACTTTGGTTACAAGTTATAAAATCTTTTTTTAATTTAATAATAGATATCAGAGTTGATATCCGGAGATCTTTCATTACACCAAAAATTCCTTATCAAAAACCCTTATTTCAGAAAAAAGAATCCACCCATTTTTTTTCCTAAGAGTATGGCTACTAGCATCCCATTTAAGTTTAATGTAGACCGTAATCCACAAGTCGCTAGCAGGAAATGGTTTGACAAGGAAAATGCGAGCCCCTGGGGTGTACCACAAATTGAACATGCTTGGGATTGACATTTTCCTAACTACCTTATTCTGATTTCTACACAGCACTTATGAATGCCCTAATATAGACACCTGTCTTTTGAATGCTCACTACCACTAAGCACAGGATGTGTCCAGAGCCGTTTTAGTGACTTCGGTGAGACCACAGTCTAGACTGTGCCATGCACAGAGTCAGCCAGTAGATGCAAATGTAGTAAAAGAAAAGCAAATGTTATTAGACTGGCCCAGTGTTTGTCTCTAAAGAGAGAAAGAGAAGCCTCATAGCACCAAAACTATATTGAACTTGATGTATTTAGGTGTTCTAATAGAAAAAATATAGAAATCAGGCCACAGTAAAATTTTTCTATCACAGAATTAGGTAATGTAGTTTACTTTATATTGGTATAGTTGTAGCTTTAATTGCTGAGCTGAACCATGGCTGTTCTCACAAAATGTTTGAAACAAATATTTTCAGACAAAGTCTTTCAATATACTTAAAGAGTTCAATTGGAAGTAAGGATTTTCTGATCAAAATGCCAACAAAAATTACACAATGAAAATACTGAATATCATTTTTGCTTCCACAGTGATATACACTACTTGAAGTTGTAAAGTAGAACTTTTTACAGAAATAATTTCACATACATGAATATATTTTATTAACATAGTATGACATCTAAAATGTACTGTTTTCTAAATGTACATAATTACTATATAAAATTTTATATGACATACCCACTATATGACACCTTTTCATTTATTCATTCATATTCATTTTTTTTTTGAAAAATCATCCAGAAGATAAAATGATCTGTGATTTAACTGAAACTACAGCTTCTGCTAGACATTGGAGAGGCACAGAGGAAAGTCCAGTTCCCTGTTTTTAAGAATTTACAAAGGACTGGGAATACTACTGATTCTTCTTCTTTCTTCCTTTCTTCCCTTCCCTCCCTCCTCCTCTACTCATCTGTCCTCCCTTCTTCTTTTGCTCTCAAAATTGTGTCCTCACTTTGTGCCAGGAAATGAGCTAAACTCTGGGAACAAGAAAGGCTTTCACTGACATGAATCCTGATCTCAAGGACTTCAACTTTTATATATATATATATATTTAATTATATGAGTCATAAAGAATGACTCCAGAACATGTCTCATTAACACACAAATATCTATTCTTACATATTCAACTTCATTTCATAACAACCGGAAAACAATACCTGGTATCCTGGCTTTCATAAGCAATCTGACATATGTCCCTCTCCACATGGCTTGAATTTTTGTTGCCGCTGATACTTCCTCAGGAGAATACTCTTTATCACTTACTGGCACAGAACATTTAATATCTACCCATTCCGCTGGAAAGAGAAAAACAAAATTTGGACTGAAAGCTACTTTTAAAGCTGAGCCTAGTTTTCAGTGCTTTTAACTAGTGACATCCGTCGTTACAGAAACAAATAATTTGTTATTAGACTTGTTTGCTATAGATGCCCCTTTTTAGGATGCAAACATTCTTGAGGAGGAAAACAATACTGAACTATCATTGTTTCCTTCTATAAAAGTAGCAAGATGCCCTCTCAAAATTGAAAAATAATATAAAGATGACATATTATCTCAATTGACATTAAGATTTCTATGGATCTTATCACAGCGTGATCTCCGTTGAAAGGGAAGTTTACAGGTTCTTGGCCCCGTCCCAGGAAGGTTAGAGCTGAACTATGAAGAGAAACTAGAAAAGACAAGGTGAAAGGCATGGAAGAGAGGAAAGAGAAGATTAAGGAAAAGACTTGAGGTACGTGGAGGCAAGAAGCAAAGAAGCAGCCACACTTGCTGTTTGGCTCTGGATACCAGGACTTGGGGAACATGGGAGGAGACACTTGAAAGAGTACTTGAAAGCTTTTAGGCTCAATGGCCCCACTTTGGGTAAACCCTAGATATTTATCCATATGTGGATGGGTAATTGAGTGTTTCATGGTGAAACTATTTTAAGTATATTCTTTCTCTTCTCTCTATTGCACACAATTGCATTAAAGCACTAAAGTATTATTAAATTATATTAATATTATGTTGTGTTAAAATACACATAGACTAGGAGTATGTTTTGTCTTTATGCGGTGAATGGCAGAACCCATTTAGAACAGGAAGGTTTGGGAGTCTTAGGGGATGCCCCTTATTCTGCCTGCTCACATCAGGAACAGACCTGGACAGAGAAAGGGGTCACTTGATGGTGAGATTGCCCCACTTGATGGTGAGATTGCTCCAGAATTTCTTAACTCATCCTGTATAGATTATTATAGATTTTCATGCATTTTAAGATCAAGAATAAAGGAAACAGGAAAATCCAGGCTCCCCTGGACATCTGGGGCTTAAAGCAGAATCTTGAAACTTGTTTCCCCCAGAGGACAGCTTGAACTCCAACTCTGTTGACAAAAAAACCTATTCTACTAACTCCACAGAAAACTCTGAGACCTTCTTTATTTATATCATATAAGTTTAGGAAATCCTTTATCAAATACATATCCTAGAGTATGTCAGTACCTAAGGAGACATCTTCCAAGGAGGAATCGAGTACTTCCATGTCCAAGATCATGGCGCGGAATGAAAATTTGAAGTTTGGGGAAGGTTTTGTTGTGTGAACTTTTTTCATTAGTCGCCATAAGGAAATTTGAAAAATCTGAAAAATTAAAATACATTAGTTTATTTATTAAGCCAGGAAGATGTCATTAATTGACACTATATGCTCTAGAAAGAAAAATATGTAAGTATTTAAAATCCACACATAACCTGACAGGAGATGTTCAAATTCCCTTTCACACACTGGAAAACCAAAAATATTTATCATTGGAATACTGTTAAGGCATTAAATTTAATCATTCCAACCATGTTTATAAACTACACTCATTCAAAATATACTAAACTGGTTAAAAAGCATAAGATTTTAGCAAATGTAGTCTTTGTATTTAAGCAAGTTAAATACCATAGTTCACTGATGCTAAAGTGCCCACCATTGTTGAGTCACTATTATTTCATTTGTTACCAAAAAAAAAAAAAAAATTATGCATGCCACTAAAAGTTTTTTTTTTTTTTTTATCACTTTCTTATCATGTATTGATACAGGGCAGCTGGCCAAGGACAACACCCAGATGCCTTACAGGTCACTGCCTGAGTTCTTCACCCACACACACAACTGAAAGACTACTCAGGTTCAGAGAACAACAATGATGAGGATTTATTTAACAAATCAGGGAAAACAAAGAGTCACTGAGGCCACCAATGGCTGTTTCCCTCACCGGAAGCTCCAGTGTCCAGTGTTTTGAAATCCTAAACACAAAAGCTACCAAGATGGCGTCTTCCCACCACTAAGTGCCTCAAACAGTTGCAGCCAGGCCATAGGCTGGGATACAACTCAGGAAAACTCAGGGTTCAGTATTTGGGACTGAGCCTTTGGGATTTCAGCGATTTTCAAATCTTCAGCAATTTTTTCGGGGTTACCATTCCTGCCCCCACCATGCAAATCTTCCAGAAGGCTGTTGTGGGGTCTGAAGGAAGTGGAGAGTCTTCTAGCAGCCAACCTCATAGAAGAAAAATTTGGAGGCTTTGCAGGTATCCAAGTGGCTGAGACTGTTCCCAGCTATGCTACTGTTACATCCTGGAAGGAAAAGGTGAAGGCCTGGATGTCTCTCTGAGCTGCCAGATGTCTCTCTGAGCTGCCAAAGTATGGCCATTTGTCAGGTCACTTTACTGCTGCGGCGGCTGTCGGCTGCTGTCTTCAGTGTTGTTTGTCTGATTCTGTGCTAGGGCGTCTGGCCAGCTCTGTGAGCACCTCCTGTTGCATCTCCAGCTGTCTTCTTGAGTTGAACCCCAGCCTGGTTGTCACTTGCTCTAGGCGCCCTTAGTGGTGGGGAGATGTTCTCTGGGTAGCCTTTGTGTTTAGGACTTCAAAACACTAGACGTTGCTGCTTCTGGTGAGGTAAAAAGCCGTTGGTGACCTCAGTGACTCTTGTTTTCCCTGGTTTATTAAATTAAACCCATTATTTTTTTAAAGATTTATTTATGCTGGCCCTCCCTGGTGGCACAGCGGGTTAGAGCACAGCACTGAGAATCTAGGGCCGCTTCCTCATGAGTTCGATTCCCGCCTGCCCCGGAGGTGACCACATGGCGTGGCAGACCTCTCCTGACCCGCCCGCTGCTCCCCTCAGCAGTGTGCTTCATCGATCTGCCTGTTCTGCTCCCCACTCTGTCTCTGTTGAGGCCTCTCGCCGCCCCTGAGCCTCTGGCCTGTACCCAGTTCTGTATGCACAAATAAATGAATCTTTAAAAAAAAAAAAAGATTTATTTATGCTTATAAATGGGATATAGACTAGAGGTGTGGGGGGATGTGAGAGAATTCACCAGACAGAGTGGGGAGCAGAACAGGCTGATGAAATACACTGCTGAGGGGAGCAATGGGCAGGTCAAGAGAAGGTTTGCTGTACCATGTGGGTCAGCTCCCTGGCCAGGGGGCGAACTGGTGCTGCAGTGGCTGTGTATAGATCATAGTGCTGCACTTTAACCTGATGCACACCACGGAGAGCCCAAATCCCATTATTGCTGTTCTGAACCTGAAGTAGTCTTGCAATTGTGTGTGCAGGTGAAGAACTCAGACAGTGACCTGTAAACTATGTGGGCAGTGTCCTTTGGCCAGTTTTAGTTCCCCTTGGCTGCATTGTATCAGCTTCAGTCATTCGGCTGCTTGCAAAACCTCCAAACTTTTCTTCTCCGAGGTTGGTTGCTGTAAGCCAACCCCACTTCCTGCAGAGGCCTACAACAGGCTTGTGATCATCATAGTGGGCAGTAATGGCTGACCCCAGAATCACTGAAGATCTGAAAACACTGACACCCCAAAGACCCAATCTGGAAACCTGAATCCTGGGGCTGCTTCTGAATTCTGGGGCTGCTTCCTGTGTATTTCCTCTTGGAATCTCCACCCACCACCAATATACTTTGTTGGATTCTACCTGAGGTTATTCACCTCACCAGTGCCCTGTCCATGGGCTCCATCTGCAAAAATCTTTGACTTCCATGGCTCCCATTACAATATAAGTATATAATTCCTATGAAATAAAAGCTCCTCTATATTTATTTAGACATAAATTTTTATTCCTACATCACAATTAAATACTAAGTAAAATGGGCTATGTAAATGAGTTACCTACTTTTAATACTTATTCACATTAAAACTCCTATTCTTACAAATCATTTTTTGAAAATATGAAAGGTCTCTGTGTTTTGCTATATGACTTTGTCACTCATGTTATCAAGTGCTTTGAAGTTGCTCCTTTGCTGAAAGGGTCTTCTACTTTTGTCCATGGGGGGTTTTCTCAAGTCTTTGACTGCCCCCTTCAGCAGTACTGACAAACATTTCCTGGTTTTAAAAATGGGCCATATACCTTTACAGAAACCCTACCAGAAAAGATACACTGACATTGGAGCATGTGAAAAGATTCTCCTATTACCATTATCAAGGAAATGTAAATCAAGATAAGGCACCACTACATTCGTAGTAGAATGTTCTGAGTCTGGATTATATAAATACCAAATGCTGATGGGGAGATGGAAAATAAGGAGTGTTTATTCATTAGTGATGGAGATGAAAACTGGTACAGCTGCTTTGGAGGACAATTGGGTAATGTGTATAAAAAAGTAAATACATGCTTACTATCCAGCAACTGTGCTGCTCAGTATTTATCAAAGGAGTTGAAATCATATGAACACACAAATACCTATACATGGATGTTTACAGCTGTTCCACTCCTAGTTGCCAAAACCTGCAAGCAAGCAAGACGTCTTTCAGTAGGGAAATGGCTAAGTAGACTGTGTTACATCCAGACAATGGAATATTACTCAGGGCTGAAAAATGCATATCAAGCTGATAAGGTCTAGGGAAAGGCATGAGGAGGGCACTGCACATAGTTTAGGAGCACTGTTTGCCCTCTGACCTTTTTGTTCTAAGATAACTTCCCAGTCTGGAGGCACCAAGAAGGTGATGGATGCATCTGTAGAGACTGAGCCTTCCCAGGGGAGTAAGGTGTTCTAAATAGATGCTAGTGGAAGGGAAGCTGTCAGGAAGAGCAGCACCATAAAACTCCCAGTTGTTAACTGCCTAGAGTGAGACCCCTCACTGATAATTAACTGTCTTTGTTTAAATTACCATAAAACAGTTAGAGGTGAGATGTTAGACAGCTTCTTAGAACACAATCTCCGTCCTTCTCAGATTAGCTGATCTAATAAAAATTGCATATGAAGGATTCAATACTCCCCTTTGTCTTTTGATTTTGACAAATGTGGCAGGCAAAGGAGCATCTGGTATTTCCCGACAACCAAGCCACGGGAAGATGTGGTTGAACTTTAAATGCATATTTTAAGTATAAAAATCCAATCTGTAAGATCTACTATAGGAGTATAACTTGATGACTTTCTGGAAAAGGCAAAATTATAGCGACGGTAAAAACCTCAGTGGTTGGCAGAGGTTTGGGAAAGCAAGGAACGAGCAAGTGAAGGGCAGGGAAAATACCCTGCATGAATCATAATGGTTGCATAACACTGCATTTATCCAACCTCACAGAAAGTGCAGTGGCAAGAATGAGCCCAGATAAGTGGTAGACTCTGGCTCATAGTAAGCTGTCAGCGCAGGGCGATCACCTGGAACAGAAACTGATGGTGGGAAAAGCTGTGCCTGCGTGGTGAACGGTGTCTACAAGCGAAATCTGTGCCTTCCACTCAGTTTGATGGTGCAGCCAAAGTCGTGCAAAAAGAAAGAAAATCTTTAATAGAAGAATCTTTTATCCTGCTGTCCTATATTCCACTTGCTTCAACTGGAAATGCTTTTCCTTCCCCTTCCCCCAGCTTTAGGGCATCAGAGGAAGTCCAGCCTCTTTTATTTGCTATAAGATGCTACTCGTGTCTAGGAGCGTTTGCTGCTCCAGCTGTGGTGCATTTACAGCGTGGATCAGCCTCACAGCACAAGGTACCTGACCCAAAAGGTCAACAGGCCGGACCTGGAGGAGCCACTATGCTTCGCCCCTCAGGACTGTGAAGTCTGAACAGCACAGCCCTACATGCGTGAGGAGGCTGCTGCTGCCTTTCCGTGGGGGAAGGACTGGTGGGTGCGGCACAGACTTTGCCGTTATAGTAAGGACCCCTCAGGCTCACCTACAGCCTGTCAGGTTCCCGGATGGAAAACAAAGTACTCGTAGCCCCACAATGGTCACTTCCGGTCAGTGTTCTGTTTCTCATTTCATTCTCCCTACTCCCTCATTTCTCCTTGCTGAAGTCACTTCTCAAATAAGTGTCTCCATTGTCAGGTGTTTTTCTCAGACTCTCGATTGGGGGGGGGGTGTCACCTAATAAAAGTGTATTATGGCTACTAGAGAGCTTCCCAGGGAGTGGACGGACATTCTGAGCCTGCCTACCCGGAAGTGCTGCGCCGACAGCTCTTTGTCGTGGAGGCGTTTGGGGTAGAGCGCAGCGTACAGGTCCCTCAGGGCTCCGTGCAGTTTTCCCTTCTCTTTGAAGTTCGTGATCACATGGCCGACAGCTTTCAAAATGACCAGCGCCTGCTCTGTGAACCGGTAGCTCTCCTGTGAAGACAGAGCGGAGTAGCCAGCCTCCTTTCCCTTTACTTGGGTGTACTGAAGTTTACAAAAAGCAGACTCTCCTGTCACACCTGCTGCTCCCCTCAGCAGTGTATTCCAGTCCATCTGCCTGTTCTGCTCCCTACTCTGCCTCTGGTGAATCCTCTCACCCCTGTACCTCTGGCATAGACCCCAGTTCTTGAATACATAAATAAATACATCTTTTTAAAAATCCTGGACAATGAGGCACATCCAAAAAATGATAGTTAACATACTTACCAGCTCAAAGTTGGGCAGCACAACGTCCTCGTCCCCAAAGACAAAAGTGACCATACTGCAGATGTGAATCGAGTGGCCGACTGCGGCATAGGCGTTGAAAAGCAGCATGTGTCTCCTGGAGAGAACAGACACGTGTCAGGCCCAGGGGCTTCCCCCGCAGCCGTAGAGGCCTGCTCACTTCTGAAACGGTTTGTGCACACATGAAGTCATATGTTAGGAAGAGTGGAATTTTTAGCACAGATGACAACTTTGGGTTTTTACTCTGAAAAGACTCTAAAGAGATGATGGAATCTATTTTTGACTAATTGTGTTGGACAGGTATTATTATAATATATGACAAACTTGCATTTGCTGGAGATCATTCCCATGCACTGCAAAAGATGCATCTTTTTTTTTCCTTAAATAACAACCATACTTCATGCTGGGATTTGTGGATTTCCTAGTCAGTTTCTCACAAATGCATGATTTCATGTGTATTAACTGTGTTTTTCCAAGTTACACCAGCTTACCAGCTTATATCCTCACTGAGAATGTTCACCACCCCTCAGGAGGACACCCTTAGAGCATGGTGATGAGTTAGGTCTTCTGTGGGGAAGGGTTAGATGTAACAAGATTAATGATTTTGAAGTTGTGATTTCTGGAAGAATCTCTATATGTCAAAGTTTTTAGGGAAGATCTCAAAACTACAGACGTTTTCCAATCCTACAAGCAAATGGGCCAAAAAAGAAGGCAGGAACTGCTATACTTATATCAGATCAAACAGACTTCAAACTAAAAAAGGTTAAAAGAGACA